TAGCCCAGGCTGGCCTCGAACTCACAGAGATCCGCCTGGCTCTGCCTCCCGAGTGCTGGGATTAAAGGCGTGCGCCACCACCGCCCGGCTCTTGATGTGTTTCTTGCTTGTTCCACGGAGGTATAGATGTATTTGACATTTAGTAATTCCTAGGCATCTTTCTTTTAGATGCAAATATTAAAACTGCATTGTTGCGTGTGTCTCAAATATCTTCTTAAAAACCTTCATCTGAAGGATTGTTCTCCCCTGTGCCCCCTTCATAGGCCCCTGACATTCATGGGGTTGCAGACTAAGAAGGCCCTGCTGACACCCCTCATGCATCCAGCTCGTCCTTTTCGGGTCTCAAACCATGACCGAAGCAGCCGGCGTGGGGTGATGGCCAGCAGCCTCAGGGAGCTTATCAGCAAGGTACTGTGGTTACAGCCTCAGATGCCCTCGGCTAGCTCAGGGTCCAATCATGGTCACTAAGCCAATGTCAAGGCAAAGGAGTCAAGAAAGATGGCATGCCTGCTGGGTAGTGGTCATACACGCCTTGAAGCCCAGCACTTGGGAGGAAGGAGCAGGCAGATCTCTGAATTGGAGGTCAGCCTGGTCTATAGAGCAAGTTCAAGGACAGTCAGGACTATATATAGAGAGCCTGTCTCAGAGAGAGAGAGAGAGAGAGAGAGAGAGAGAGAGAGAGAGAGAGAGAGAGAATATCAAACTCATCGGTCCCTCTCTAGGTTTTGGGCCCTTGAGGGGAGGTGGTGAAGGATGGGTCTAAATCCTCAAAGTGCCACTGTCTCTCCACATCATGGAAGACTGGGGGTCTGAGGTGAATGCCTTAGCAGCATCCAGCAACTGAAAATGTTGCTTTCCTTCTTTGAGAAGGGAGACTATGGAGACCTGGGAAATCTGACCAGGATAGGTAGTCCTCACGCTAAAACAGTGCTCTCAATCAAGAAAGCATCATAGACTCTCGGAGAAGCACAACTCAGAGGTGCTACGGAAATGAGAAATGGGCATCCCGAGTGAAGCCTCTGCAGCAGGAGGTAGGTGATCGGGTGTGCTGCACGAGGCCACGCACTTAAAGGGCAAGACTGCAGGGCCATCTGCTTATTCCTCTGCATAAAGGCAATCACAGAAACTAAATATGAGTGCATCACTTATTTCATTCCTTAGGAAGAAAAAGGTCCATTTAAAATCTTCATTTGTTTTTCTGAGTGAAGGCAATGGTTTTCTTCACTCCTGTCGCTTTATCCCAGACAGCCAGCCCTCCTGAAACCTTATCACAAATGCCACTGATGGTCCGGTGTGAAAGATCCTTCATCCTGTGTTTCTGCTCCCTTGCAAACCTAGACTCTGGATGTCCTGGTCATCACAGCTGGCCTGGTCACGCTGGTGCTGGAGGAGGATGGTACTGTGGTGGACACCGAGGAATTCTTTCAGACCTTAAGGGACAACACACATTTCATGATCTTGGAAAAGGGACAGAAATGGACACCGGTAAGCATAGCCTCGCTACTCAAGCAGCGAGGTAGACGTTCTACCTACGAGTGCACTGTCTACTTTAGTGTTGACCGAGCCACGCCTTACTTATATTCTTTATGTACTCGCCTCCTAGCCACAGCCACAACTCTCAAAAGGATTCTCAAGTGTTTCTAGAAAATTCGATGTCTCTGAATTTAGACTGTATGATTCAAAACAAATAATTTTGAAGCATAAGCTTTGGCCAATGACCTGACTGAGGCAGGTCAGCAGACATGCCCTGGTTACTATTGACTGCCTCATCCTTAGGAAGCCAGGCAAGCTGGCATGGCTGAGTCATGTGTGTGTGTGTGTGTGTGTGCTCATCAGCCTTCTGTCACTATAATAAAATACTCGAGACAGTTAACTTAGGAGAAAGGTATATTTTGTCTAATATGTGGGAGGGTCTAGTCCACGATCAGTTCTGCCCGCTCCCTGAGGCAGCATGTCCTTGCAGGAGCAAGCAGAATGGCAAAGTCACTGGTATTGATCTTCAAGACATAGGATAAGCTTCCCTACCCTGCTGCAGACTGATATTTAAGACAACAGAGTTGAAACACAGTCTGTGATCTAGGAACATGGGTCCATGCCTGTGCACCTGCCCCCGGAACACACTAGCACCTACACGGCAGATGTATATCAGACCATCCGTGTTCCCTTGTGAGTGATGGTGAAGACTGGCGACAAACCAAGCGTCCGCTGCAGGAGGGTGGAGACGTCACCCAGCCATCACTGCGTGTCCATTTCAGTTCACATAGGCTGACATGTCACTGCACAGTTACTGAATACAACACTCTTCAACCCTGGAGACACATGAAGAGCAGTTGCAGGCACCATCTGAGTGAATCCCACAGCTGTGCTGAGGGAGAATGGCCTAGGACCGTGCATCAGGCAACCCACCTTCAAACTTTTCCGTCTCAGGGCTTATGAAAAGTAATGAAGACTCCAAGCACCTTTGACATCTGTCATTAATGTGGGTTACATCAATAGAGCCAACAAATCACGGCTGTCAATCACGGCTTCTTACCTGGGGATGTTTTGCCCTTAGGAGCCATGGAGTAATATCTGAAGATGGCTTAGAATGATAAACTGGGAGAGAGGTCACAGCTGTTACCATCTAGAATGGAAATTGCAACGCACAGCCTTGGAAACAAAAAGTCACCCAGCTCCTAATGTCATGTGTGCCAAGGTTGAGAAACTATAAGCCATATATACAGACATTTCCAATATTCAAAATTAAAAGTGAGAAATTAAAAGATATTTATCAATTAGTAATAACTCAGTAAAGGTTGGCTTGAACTACATATTTTTTTTAAAGATTTATTTATTTATTTATTATGTATACAGTGTTCTGTTTGTATGTATGTCTGCACACCAGAAGAGGGCACCAGATCTCATTATAGATGGTTGTGAGCCACCATGTGGTTGCTGGGAATTGAACTCAGGACCTCTGGAAGAGCAGTCAGTGCTCTTAACCTCTGAGTCATCTCTCCAGCCCTTGAACTACATATTTTAATAAAAAAAAATAAAAAAATATTTTCAATGAGTGGGTAGCGGTGGCACATGCCCTTAATTCCACCTCAGCACTCGGGAGGCAGAGGCAAGTTGATCTCTGTGAGTTCAAGACCAGCCTAGTCTACAGAGTGAGTTCCAGGACAGCCAAGGCTACACAGAGAAACCCTGTCTCTAAAAACCAAAGGAAAAAAAAAAAAGAAGAAAATATTTTTTTAAAATAAATGACCACTCTCCAAAACAAGAACAAGGAATTATACTTTTCATATTTTTGCAAATCTCTTTAATGTCCAGAAGACTCTTGAATTCTCAGGTATGGGGCTGGACACATGATTTAGCAATTAAGAGCATTTGCTGCTCTTGCAGAGGACCCAGACTCAGTTCCCAGCACCCACATGGCTGCTCACAACCATCTGTAACTCCAGTTCCAAAGGATCTGATGCCTCTTCTGATCTCTGAGTAAGAACACATACGTATATGCAGGCATGCTCATGCACACACACTCACACACACATAAACACACACACACACACACACACACACACACCATAAATAATTCTCAGACATACCTCTGTGTTCAATCTGCTCTACTCTATTGTTTGGGTGGAACTATGAAGGAACTCCGGCCTGGCTGCAGATGTGTCGATGGAAAGGAAAGGGGAGGTGCTGATGGTCTCCGCATACTGCTGAGAACACTCTGCTCTGCTACTGCATGAAGAGTCAACAGTGCCGGGTCCACAAAACTCAACCGCAGTGGAGAATCTAAGGAGCTCCCAGTGGAGTTGGTCACTCTGTTCCACTGAGTACTTCAGTCTGTCTTACATTTGGAAAGGATCTCTCATTGGAGTGGTCTTGAAACATCATACTTTGGTCCTTAGGAAAATACTGGCTTGGAACAGAGATGTAGCTTAGTGATGGATGTACTTTACATGCACAAAGCCCTGGGTTGGATCTCTAGTCCGCAAAGAAAAACAGAAGAAAAAGAGAAAAATAAAATATTGATTCATTAAGCTACAGGAATTAGGAGAACAGAGAAGAGCAATTGTCTTTAGTATTTATTGTGAAAACAGTTTTAACCCAAGAGAGAGCTTAAGCCTGATCCTCCACCTCCAGACCACACCGTGAGAACTTCTGCATTAAACCATTTCTAGATAATTCAAAACTATGCAAAATTAGCAATATAGTGTTCACGGGAAAGATGCACAGCCAAGGTGGTTTCCTCCTGTGGAGGCAGTGGGATAACCAGAAGAGACGCACAGGACCTCTGGGGTAGATAATGTTTTGTTTTGTCTTATTATTATGCATATATGTATGCATGCACACAAGTACCTCATAATTTTTAAGATTATTTTATATGTATGAGTGTTTTGCTTCCATGTATGTATGCATTAATCCCACAGATACCAGGAGAAAGGCCACCAACCCAAATCATGGTCAAATTAAAGCAAGTTTTAATTCGTGTACTTTGGCTACCTCTTCCTAAGGCAGGGATCAAGATATCAGCACTGGTCATGAAGAAGATAAGGCTTTTTATAGGTCAGGAGCAGGGGGTTTCCAAATGGGGGACCTGGCAGGCAAATAAGTGAGGCTACAGAAACATAACATGAGCATAACAAGTTGGTCACAACAACCTCCTGAAACAGAGGCATGGTTGTCGTTTTCTGGAAAAGGCAGTACAGAATCATTTGTAGTTAAGGTTACAGGTAGGGACATAGCTAATCCTTGAAAAAACAGAGATTAAATCATAAACAAAAACAAACCTCGTTTGACTTTGCTATAAGATGGTTTCCAAGCCCAAGATGGAGGCAGGCTGGTTTATCATATGTGCATCATGTGTGTGCTTGGCACCCCCAGATGATTGGGTGCCCTAGAACTGGAGTTACAGATGGTTGTGAGCCTCCATGTGGGTGCTGGGAACTGAACCTGGGTCCCCTATAAGAGCCATCCCTGTATCCTCCTTAAATGCTGTCTTTAAAATAGAAGGTAAGGTAACCATTGCCTGTAGATAGGCAAATTAGAAAAACTTTGAAAAGACAGATTAGTCATGGGCTCCTCTTTTTCTTCTTCTTCTTCTTCTTCTCCTCCTCCTCCTCCTCCTCCTTCTTCTTCTTCTTCTTCTTCTCCTTCTTCTCCTTCTCCTTCTCCTTCTTCTCCTTCTCCTCCTCCTTCTCCTCCTTCTCCTTCTCCTTCTTCTTCTTCTCCTCCTCATCCTTCCCCTCCCTCCTCCTCCTTCTTTCTTCTTCCTTCTTCTTCTTTTCCCTGACTATCCTGGAACTCACTCTGTAGACCAGGCCAGCCTCAAACACACAGAGATCTCCCTGCCTCTGCCTCCGGAATTCTGGGATTAAAGGTGTGCACCACCACCTCCCAGCTTCCAATTCTTTCTTCTGGGCTTTCTTTTAACTGTTTTTGCAGGGCTGGGGACAAGCTAGCCATGGCTTGCCACACACCAGGCCAGTGTTCTCCCACAGAGTGGCTCTTCCACCCCTGTGCTTTCTGTATGAGGTCACCTGTGTGACCTCCAGAGTGTCTGTGTTTATTCTCAGAACCTTACCTGGCCAGAGGGCCTTGGCAGATGTGTCTCTTGAGATGGAGAGATCATCCTGAATTACCCTGGAGTCCAGTGTCACCACAGGGCTCTCATGGGGTGGGAGAGCAGGGGGAGAAGAGCTAGAATGAGATGCAGAGGAAGAGGAGAACCACAGGCTGAGGAAGGCGGTAGCCTTGGTCAGGACCCCTGCTCCCGGAACCGGAAGAGTATAAGCCCGTGATATCTAAGCCAAGGTTCTGGTAACTTATAACAGCAATAGGGAACTAACACCAGTGGAAAAGGTGTTCGCTGTTGGTTTATACAAGGGAGAGTTTAGACATGTATTTGGAGGTGACGCTTTTAAGCTCTGCACAGTAAATGGACATCTAAGAGATGTAGCACAGTACTAAGTCATGACAAGATATCATCAGTATGAATATCGTGACTTCTACGTTCCAGGGCTGGCTGAGGACTCGTGAATCTGAAATACTGGGTTGGTTTGAGGGTTGGACGCTGAGGATGGAAGCCAGCCCCTCACAGACATGCACAGCTCCGTGCTCTGCCCCTGAGCCCCATCAAAGACTCTGGAGTCCTTTTCCTGACTGAATTTTCAGCCATTTTCCTGTAAGGTAGAATGGTGGCTTTCCCATAGAGTCCAGAAGGTTATCCCCAGGGCCCATTGTGACAGGAACAAAATCTTCAACCCAGAAGCAGCCACCAGATGTCTCCCTTGCTCAGTCTCTGGGACCCAAAGCCCCATGGGAAGGTGTTCCCTGCCACCCTGGAAGAAGACAGGGTCCAGTCATGCCCTTCCTTTCCTGCAGGTTATAGAAGCCTATATATATAGAGAGAGTGTGTGAGGGCCCACGCACTTAGCATTATAAGGGCATTTTGGTTTAGCACCAAGACTAAAGGCAGCCTAAAGGGAGAGTCAGATAAACTTTGAAAAGCCAGAAAACAATGTAGGACAGCGAAGAAGAGCTGGGGAAGGTGATAGATTTAAACCCTTTTTATTATTATTTATTAATATTTAAAATATTAATATTATTTTTAATATTCCCCAACACCCTTCTAGTCCTTAGTCATGAATTGTTTGTTCATTTTGAGACAGGGTGTCTGCATAGCCCTGGCTGTCCTGGATCTCGCTCTGTAGATGAGGCTGGCCTCAAACTCACAGAGATCCCCCTGCCTCTGCCTCAGAAGTGTTAGGAATAAAGATGTGTACCACCATGTCCAACTCAGACTTGGATTTTTAAATGATGTTTCTTTCTCAAATAGTGGATAGTTGGCACAGGGCTGGCAGAGCCTCTTGTGCATTATATTATTATGCAGAATAACTATATTATTGTGCAGAATCACTTGTCACTTGTGATCTGGGTAGCAGGAAGAGAGGGACACCTTCTTTAGCAAGAAGGGCTGGCACACTTTTAGGGGAATCGATGTTGAAGTTTCAAATGTATTTGATGGTTTTCATTATGGAACACTCCGTTTTCAAGTACTCCCCGCCCCTGAAGTTCCTGAGGCATGGGAACTCTGTCACCATCTTAGCTTGACCCCGGATACAGTGGGAACCGGCGTGTGGCCAAAACCACTTAGGAAAGCCGCTCATGAGCCACGATTGGCTGCCCATGCCCAGCCCCAGGACTGGAGATTGTCCTTGAACCCCAAACCTTGCGCATGCTAGGCGAGTTCTCTATTGCTGAGCCACACCCCCATTTGCATCTTGGGACTTCTTTGTTCCCTCAGAGTCCATTGTAGAGCTACCTACAAACCAAGAGTGCATGTCCCTCCCAACCGGAAGGGTCACCTGGTGTCCCTGGCAGACGGAGTGATTCTGTCAGTGGTTAATGTTCCCACACAGTCATCCTTCCTCCTTGGCAGTTCCTGGAAAATAGGAGACAGCCCGAGAGAGGCCTGGTCCACCTGTTCCCCAAGTCTCAGAGTTCCAGCATTTTCTTCATCAGATCTGCTTGTGAAAGGAAACGGAAATAGGGCTTCCTGCTCCTCCCTGGCTTTGTGACAGCGACAAGAGCAGGCTGACCATGTCCTCACATACTCACAGAGTAGCTTCAGGGCTCCAAGCAAACAAGCAAGCCTCCTCCGCACCCTGAGGCAGGACCCTAAGCACCTCTATCCATCAGACACAGTCCTCCAAGCCAAAGCAAACTCATCCTGAGTCACGCAGCTGGAAGTTGATGAGGGAAGAGATACACAGGCATGGTTGTAGTAGGACATGATGGCCTGCTATAAACGTGACTGGAATAATTACAGCTGACGTTGAGGAGACCCTAACTTTGGCAATAACCCCAGAATCGTGTGGTTCGAGTGTCTTGGCCAGTGTCAATCTTTGTTTGTTCGTTGCTCTAGGGCAGTAAGTATGTCCCAGTCTACAAGCAACCCAAGAAATCGGGAATAGCCAAAGTTACCTTCGACCTATACCGGCTGAATCCCAAGGACTTTCTCGGCTGCCTCAACATCAAGGCCACCATGTATGAGATGTACTCAGTGTCCTATGACATCCGATGCACGAGTGTAAAGGCCATGTTAAGGTAACAAACGTCTCCAGGGGTGTCCGTAGGGGTCTGGAAACACCCAGGTGTGGCACAAGTGGCCTCTCCTCACTTGTCTTCTGTCCCCAGGGCCCAACGACAAGGCCTGGCTGGATCCTCTCTTGTCATCACATCTGACCCATGTTGTCTTCAGTGTACATCTTAGACCACAGACTGACCAGAAAGCACCAAGTCCAGCTGGGGGTAGAGTTCAGTGGTAGAGCACCTGCTTGGCGGGTTAGAGGCCCTGGGTTCAACACCCAGCAACACACACGCATGCACACACACATCCACACCATGGAATCTGGCCTGGATATTCTGCCCAGACCTTTTCTAAGCTGGAGTAAAAACTTCTGAGGCCAGGAAAAGAACAGGAACTTGAAGGAACACTTTTTGTTTGATTTGGTCTGAAATAACACCTACTTTTAGTCTCGGGACTTGAGAGCCTACCTAGGACAGGGCAAAGTGTTCCTTCCCTGTGAGGAGGAAGCTGGACCAACCCAGCTGCCTACCCTCCACACGCCAGATCAGAGGATCATAATCCCAGTTTTTCCTACAACCTTCCTGAGCTTGACTGGTCTCGGCACCTTGACCTAAGGGACCACAGAGCAACCCACTCACCTAGGCTGCTAGAATCCTCGAATAGCAAGCACATGCTCTGAGGAGTAGCAGGGACTCTGTGGGGCTCTTGAGTTCCTACTTAGGCTCCTATCCAAGTGGCTTGAGGGCTGTGTACCCCGAAAGTAGCGCTGGACCTGGATAGTACCGGCAGCCTCCCAGGGAGCACTTAGACATTGTGTGCCCCCGAAAGCGGTATCCCATGGATGTCACAACTCCAACATGATGGCTGCTTCCTCGGAGCTTAGTGGGGTGGCATGGGGCAAGGCGTTCCCACCACTCCAACTCTGGCCAGGCCGGAATCCCGAGGCCCTGACGTGTTTTCACCTCGTTCTGTTGCAGGAGTCTGCTGCGATTTGCGTCCTACGCCGCCCAGGTGACAGGACAGTTCCTGGTCTACGCAGGCGCGTACATGCTCCGAGTACTGGGCGATACGGAAGAGCAGCGGTCTCCCAAGCCCAGCACCAAGGGCTGGTTCATGTAGACAGGTCTCGGCTCTGGAGGCCCAGGTGCACGCCGTTCATGTACATTGACTACCTTTGTTTAGAGGCTGTGGGATGCCAGGGGAAGGAAGGGGGCTTGGTGGTGCACAGTGCGGAGCTCAGGATTCCTGCAGGAGAAAGGGACCACTGAGGGGTCCTTCAAGGGCCTTCAGACGGGACTAACAGCAGAGTGTCTGGGAGCAGCGTGCATATGAAGTAGACTGTTTGGATCCTTGCCTGTTGTAATAAATCGATCACAAGAGTCACTTTAATACCTGCTTCCTTGCACCCGGTTTATCTCTCTGGAGGTGACCACACTTTCACACAGAATGAAAACCAGAGCCAAAGGCATAAAGACAGATACCACTGCTGTTTAATCTTTCTTTTTAACTGTACTATATTGTTGGGGGGAGCGTGTTTTGCCCATTGTATATGTCTAGGCAACACGTGCATGCAGTGCCCCAGAAGGCCAGAAGAGGGCGTCGGATCTCCCCAGATGAGTTATGGGCAGTCGTGAGCTTAGGACGGACCCTGGGGGAAAGCAGCTGGCGCTCTTCACCTCTGAGCCATCACCTCTGAGCCATCATCGATCGCTCCAGGTCCATTGCTGTTTAATCTTTATCAGTGCTCAACGCAAAAGGAATGATTTGCCACATAAGCCAAGGTTTTAGCTGGTTTAGTTTTTCCTTCAAAGGATCTTTTCCTCTCAGGGTTGTGTGTGTGTGTGTACGTGTTCATACGTGGGAGCATAGGCACTTGTGCACCATAGCACGCGTGTGGAGGTCAGAAGACAACCGAGGGGTCAGTCCTCACCTTCTTCTACCTTGTTTGGCAAGTCGTACAAGCCAGGCTGGCGCAAGGTCCTGGGAGTGTGTAGTGCCTGCTCCCTTCCCCTCCCCCCCCCCCCGCCCCCGGCCCCCTGGTCTCCACCTCCGTCTGGCTGTGGGAGTGCTAGGACTGTAGATCCATGTGACATGTAAACCGGCGGTTCTCAACCTTCCTAATGCTGCAACCCTTTAATACAGTTCCTCATAAGGTCGTGACCCCCCCAGGCATAAAATCATTTCATTGCTACTTCATAACTGTAACTTGGCCAGTGTTATGAATTGGGATGTAAATATCCGATATGCGGGATATCTGCTATGTGACCCTCCCCTGTGGGTCAGGACCCCCAGGTTGAGAACCACTGATTGTAACACCTCCAGACTCAGGTCTGCAGGCTTGTTCAGCAAGCACTTCACCCCGCCGAGCCATCTCCCCGCCCCATGCTGCCCCTGCCCCCCCATGCTGCCCCTGCCCCGCCACACCCCACCCGGCCCTGCCCCTGCCCACGCCAATGCTTTTAATGAGCCCCAAAGGCCCTAAAGCTTGAGGATCCGCGTAAAGAGCCTTGGGAAGTGGGGGGGGGGGGATGGTTCAGCCTGGATTTCAGAAAGAAACAAAACTGTTGGAACTTGGGTTGGAAGCCAATGCTGCCATGGTGCCAAGGGAACGCTTGTGGCCGGCAGCCAAGCTCCGCCGAGCCCTGGCCAAAGCAAAAGCCCTGTTGGCTCTGGGTTCCAGCTGATGCTCAGCTGGGCATGGGCCCTCAAAGCACCTTGTGAGGAACCCGTTTATCACCTGGTTCTTTGGAGGTAGCTTCCTCACTGGGCCACACTGCTCAAAGGACACCCAAGTGTCACCCTCAGCCCGAGTGCGGGAGTCTCTGGCTGTATCTTCCCCTGCCCTGTCATCAGAGGATGGAAGAGACTCTCCAGAGGAAATGAGATGCTGTTCCCCGGGTGAACAGTAACAAGCCTGGGAGACGTCGGTTCCTATCAGATCGATCCTGTGGAGTCGGCCGTGACTTTACTGATGAAAAAAACGGTAGCTCCGAGGTGAGGGTCATTCCTGCTTGCCTGTTCCAGCACTGTGAACAGAGACTAAGCCTGGGAGTCTCACCCCGACACACACACACACACACACACACACACACACACACACACACACACACACGCTGTACAGTTCAGCCCACCGCCACCACCACCACCACAATCCTAGCCCTCACTGTGTCTGCCATGTATTGGGTCAGGACCTCACCCCCCACTGCCGCTGTGAAAGAAAAAGTGAAGGGGATGCTGGGAATGAACTAGCTCATGTGCTGTTTGTCCTAATGAAGGGACAGGCAGGCACCACTGGTGTCCACCACCCTCCTGATGTGGTTTGGCCCTTCCAGCTCTTCTAAAAAGTGATAAGGCTGGAGGAGGAGGGTGACTTTCGAGATCACACACACACACACACACACACACACACACACAGAGATGCCCAGTGGATTTCAACCCTATAAAAGGAGCAGGGTACCCGCCTTCTGTAGCCCCTGCAGAGACAGCCCAGGAGGGAAGGGGTGTGGCCTGAACAGGGGCGGGGGTGAGGGGGGACCTCAGAACCCAGCACACACCCCGCCCCCCTTTGGATTTGCATCACTTCCCCAGGATCCCACCCTCCTCGGAAGCCACTGCCTGGCTTCCAAAAAAGGAATTTTCACTCCGGATTGATGCTGTTGAGTCAGCCACTTCTCTGGCTCTGTGATTCGGTTGCCGGCAAGGGGGGCTGTCCTTTTCCTCTCAGGATGCAGGCAGGGAGCGGAGGGGGGAAGGGGAGAGGATGCCACCAAGGGAGTCCTAGGGAGGGGCTGGGCTCTGGTCACCCACGCCCTCCCTGTGAGACGGGGCTTGCAGCTAGGAGGACCTCCTGGAGCTGGGAAACTTCTGAACAGGTGGCAGGTCTGTCTGCCTTTGTCTCCAGCTCTCCAGTTAGTCATGGGGCAGCTTCTCCCAGACTTCTCAGGAGAGGCAGGAAGGCCTGCTGAGAGGAAGCCACAGTGGGTGGCATTGTGTCATCAAAGGCTGCGGAGAGCTCTTGTAAGAGTCTTTGAAGCTGGGAGAGGGGGCAGTTAACAATCACCCTATGTATGGAAGGGCCTCGGCCAGGCAATGCTCTGTCTCTGGTTCCGATTAGGCGGGGTGTTTTTCCAAATGTAACACTTTCTCCTTCTAATCTCAGTTTTGCTGCGACCTTGTATCTCACAGAGAAGCAAAAGCAGGCTAGGTTGGCTCCTGCAGAGAGGACTACGAACCCACGGTGTTCAGTGCTACCAAAACTGAAGCCACTGCTGAGCCCGCTCGTGTGGGTGTCCCTGTCAAGAGCTGGGTGTCCTGGGTGATAGGGCTAAGCACAAGAATACTGTTTGTGTATAGACTAACAATTCGAAATAAAGGAAGGAAGGGAGGGAGGAAGAGAGAGAAAGAGAGAGAGAAAGAGAGAGAGAAAGAGAGAAAGCAAGAGAGAGGAAGGAAGGAAGGAAGGAAGGAAGGAAGGAAGGAAGGAAGGAAGGAAGGAAG